CTTCAACCGCACATTTCTAGCCAGTGTTGGGGGCGGGGGGGGGGAGAAAAGAAAATACCACATTTCTCGCCTTTGAGGCAGCCTAAAACCCCACTTGCTGTGTTAGGGTAATACAGTGTGTGGTGCAGATTGTGGAAATGAAGCACACGTAGATTGCTGAAGGAAACCAGAGACCACCAGTGGCGGGAGCTGGTACCTGCCGGATCGTTTGTTGTGTGAGTGGAGAATCCTTCCAGATGGGAAATTTTCAGTTATCTTGGTTGCCAGCAGCAACCGTCGTGGGATACACCCTGGTATTGAAAATGTGACACCTAAATTTTACATGTCTGTCACTAGTGGGTTAGCACCATATATACATGTCTGTCACTAGTGGGTTAGCACCATATATACATGTCTGTCACTAGTGGGTTAGCACCATATATACATGTCTGTCACTAGTGGGTTAGCACCATATATACATGTCTGTCACTAGTGGGTTAGCACCATATATACATGTCTGTCACTAGTGGGTTAGCACCATATGCACATGTCTGTCACTAGTGGGTTAGCACCATATTTACATGTCTGTCACTAGTGGGTTAGCACCATATATACATGTCTGTCACTAGTGGGTTAGCACCATATATACATGTCTGTCACTAGTGGGTTAGCACCATATATACATGTTTGTCACTAGTGGGTTAGCACCATATATACATGTCTGTCACTAGTGAGTGAGCACCATATATACATGTTTGTCACTAGTGGGTTAGCACCATATATACATGTTTGTCACTAGTGGGTTAGCACCATATATACATGTCTGTCACTAGTGGGTTAGCACCATATATACATGTTTGTCACTAGTGGGTTAGCACCATATATAAATGTCTGTCACTAGTGGGTTAGCACCATATATACATGTTTGTCACTAGTGGGTTAGCACCATATATACATGTCTGTCACTAGTGAGTTACCACCATATATACATGTCTGTCACTAGTGGGTTAGCACCATATATACATGTCTGTCACTAGTGGGTTAGCACCATATATACATGTCTGTCACTAGTGGGTTAGCACCATATATACATGTCTGTCACTAGTGGGTTAGCACCATATATACATGTCTGTCACTAGTGGGTTAGCACCATATATACATGTCTGTCACTAGTGGGTTAGCACCATATATACATGTCTGTCACTAGTGGGTTAGCACCATATATACATGTCTGTCACTAGTGAGTTAGCACCATATATTCATGTCTGTCACTAGTGGGTTAGCACCATAAATACATGTCTGTCACTAGTAGGTTAGCACCATATATACATGTCTGTCACTAGTGGGTTAGCACCATATATACATGTCTGTCACTAGTGGGTTAGCACCATATATACATGTCTGTCACTAGTGGGTTAGCACCATATATACATGTCTGTCACTCGTGAGTTAGCACCATATATACATGTCTGTCACTAGTGGGTTAGCACCATATATACATGTCTGTCACTAGTGGGTTAGCACCATATATACATGTCTGTCACTAGTGGGGTTGCGTCCTGTATGAATAAGCGCCAGAAGAAGTTCTGTTACTGACCACCTCTTACCTGTGCAGGACCAGCTCAAGCTGAAGGCAAGCCCCAAGAATGTGTCCCAGGCTACAAGAGAATCTCCTCTCTCTGGACGTCCATGTTGCTTGCAGGTGATCATGTGAAATCTTTAGTTGTTGTCACTTCTGGTGTTTGAATTGGGTGGCTATGGCTTTCAGTGTGTTCATGGGTGGTGATGGCTTTCAGTGTGTTCATGGGTGGCTATGGCTTTCAGTGTGTTCATGGGTGGCTATGGCTTTCAGTGTGTTCATGGGTGGCTATGGCTTTCAGTGTGTTCATGGGCGGCTATGGCTTTCAGTGTGTTCATGGGTGGCTATGGCTTTCAGTGTGTTCATGGGTGGTGATGGCTTTCAGTGTGTTCATGGGTGGCTATGGCTTTCAGTGTGTTCATGGGTGGTGATGGCTTTCAGTGTGTTCATGGGTGGCTATGGCTTTCACTGTGTTCATGGTTGGCAATAGCTTTCAGTGTGTTCATGAATGGTGATGGCTTTTAGTGTGTTCATGGGTGATGATGGCTTTCAGTGTGTTCATGGGTGGCTATGGCTTCCAGTGTGTTCATGGGTAACTATGGCTTTCAGTGTATTCATGGGTGGTGATGGCTTTCTGTGTGTTTCTGGGTGGTGATGGCTTTCAGTGTGTTCATGGGTGGTGATGGCTTTCAGTGTGTTCATGGGTGGCTATGGCTTTCAGTGTGTTCATGGGTGGTGATGGCTTTCAGTGTGTTCATGGGTGGCTATGGCTTTCACTGTGTTCATGGTTGGCAATAGCTTTCAGTGTGTTCATGAGTGGTGATGGCTTTTAGTGTGTTCATGGGTGATGATGGCTTTCAGTGTGTTCATGGGTGGCTATGGCTTCCAGTGTGTTCATGGGTAACTATGGCTTTCAGTGTATTCATGGGTGGTGATGGCTTTCTGTGTGTTTCTGGGTGGTGATGGCTTTCAGTGTGTTCATGGGTGGTGATGGCTTCCAGTGTGTTCATAAGTGGTGATGACTTTCAGTGTGTTCATGGGTGGCTATGGCTTCCAGTGTGTTCATGGGTGGCTATGGCTTTCAGTGTGTTCATGGGTGGCTATTGCTTTCAGTGTGTTCATGGGTGGTGATGGCTTTCGGTGTTCTCATGAGTGGCTATGGCTTTCAGTGTGTTTATGAGTGGCTATGGCTTTCAGTGTGTTCATGGGTGGCTATGGCTTTCAATGTGTTCGTGGGTGGCTATGGCTTTCAGTGTGTTCATGGGTGGCTATGGCTTTCAGTGTGTTCATGGGTAGCTATGGCTTTCAGTGTGTTCATGTGTGGCTATGACTTTCAGTGTGTTCATGGGTGGTAATGGCTTTCAGTGTGTTCATGGGTGGTAATGGCTTTCAGTGTGTTCATGGGTGGCTAAGGCTTTCAGTGTGTTAATGGGTGGTGATAGCTTTCAGTGTGTTCATGGGTGGCTATGGCTTTCAGTGTGTTCATGGGTGGCCATGGCTTTCAGTGTGTTCATGGGTGGCTATGGCTTTCAGTGTGTTCATGGGTGGTGATGGCTTTCAGTGTGTTCATGGGAGGCTATGGCTTTCAGTGTGTTCATGGGTGGCTATGGCTTTCAGTGTGTTCATGGGTGGCTATGGCTTTCAGTGTATTCATGGGTGGCTATGGCGTTCAGTTTTTTCATGGGTGGTGATGGCTTTCAGTGTGTTCATGGGTGGCTATGGCTTTCAGTGTGTTCATGTGTGGCTATGACTTTCAGTGTGTTCATGGGTGGTAATGGCTTTCAGTGTGTTCATGGGTGGCTATGGCTTTCAGTGTGTTTATGGGTGGCTAAGGCTTTCAGTGTGTTCATGGGTGGTGATGGCTTTCAGTGTGTTCATGGGTGGCTATGGCTTTCAGTGTGTTCATGGGTGGCTATGGCTTTCAGTGTGTTCATGGGTGGCTATGGTTTTCAGTGTGTTCATGGGTGGTGATGGCTTTCAGTGTGTTCATGGGAGGCTATGGCTTTCAGTGTGTTCATGGGTGGCTATGGCTTTCAGTGTGTTCATGGGTGGCTATGGCTTTCAGTGTATTCATGGGTGGCTATGGCGTTCAGTTTTTTCATGGGTGGTGATGGCTTTCAGTATGTTCATGGGTGGCTATGGCTTTCAGTGTGTTCATGGGTAACTATGGCTTTCAGTGTATTCATGGGTGGTGATGGCTTTCTGTGTGTTCATGGGTGGTGATGGCTTTCAGTGTGTTCATGGGTGGTGATGGCTTTCAGTGTGTTCATGGGTGGTGATGACTTTCAGTGTGTTCATGGGTGGCTATGGCTTCCAGTGTGTTGATGGGTGGCTATGGCTTTCAGTGTGTTCATGGGTGGCTATAGCTTTCAGTGTGTTCATGGGTGGCTATGACTTTCAGTGCGTTCATAAGTGGTGATGGCTTTCAGTGCGTTCATGGGTGGCTATGGCTTTCAGTGTGTTCATGTGTATTGATGGCTTTCAGTGTGTTCATGGGTGGCTATGGCTTTCAGTGTGTTCATGGGTGGTGATGGCTTTCAGTGTGTCCATCGGTGGATGGCTTTCAGTGTGTTTATTGGTGGCTATGGCTTTCAGTGTGTTTATTGGTGGCTATGGCTTTCAATGTGTTCATGGGTGGCTATGGCTTTCAGTGTGTTCTTGGGTGGCTATGGCTTTCAGTGTGTTCATGGGTAGCTATGGCTTTCAGTGTGTTCATGGGTGGCTATGGCTTTCAGTGTGTTCATGGATGGTGATGGCTTTCAGTGTGTTCATGGGTGGCTATGGCTTTCAGTGTGTTCATGGGTGGCTATGGCTTTCACTGTGTTCATGGGTGGTGATGGCTTTCAGTGTGTTCATGGGTGCTCATAGGAGATAAGTCATTTTGTGCTCGTAAGAGATAAGTCATGTTGTGCTCATAGGAGATAAGTCATGTTGTGCTCATAAGAGATAAGTCATTTTGTGCTCATGGGAGGTAGGTCATGTTTTGCTTATGGAAGATAAGTCATGTTGTGCTCATGGGAGATAAGTCATGTTGTGCTCATGGGAGATAAGTCATGTTATGCTCATGGGAGATAAGTCATGTTGTGCTCATAGGAGATAGGTCATGTTGTGCTCATGGAAGATACGTCATGACAAAGAAGTCATGTTGTGCTCATGGGAGACAAGTCATGCTGTGCCTATGGGAGACAAGTCATGCTGTGCCTATGGGAGATAAGTCAAGTTGTGCTCATAAGAGATAAAGTATGTTGTGTTCATAAGAGATAGGTCAAGTTGTGCTCATGAGAGATGAGTCATGTTGTGCTCATAAAAGATAAGTTATGTTGTGCTCATGGGAGATAAGTCATGTTGTGCTCATGGGAGATAAGTCATGTTGTGCTCATAGGAGATAGGTCATGTTGTGCTCTTGTGAGATAGGTCGTGTTGTGCTCTTGTGAGATAGGTCATGTTGTGCTCTTGTGAGAAAGGTCATCTTGTGCTAATGGGAGATAAGTCATTTTGTGCTGGTGTCAAGTCAGAAGCCAATATTTCGAGAGGCGTGGTGTTAGACTGTACATCAACACTTCGCACGTATTGTTGGTGGTTAAACTGTATTCAGTTCCATGTTGTTGCTTCCTGGTGTTCGTGTTGTTTGGGCTGTATATGTGCTGCTGATGTTGTTGCTCTTGCAGTTGTTGGTAATGTTGTGATCACTGCTATCACTGTTGTAATGATCACTGCTATTACTGTTGTAATGATTACTGCTATTACTGTTGTAATGATTACTGCTATCACTGTTGTAATGATCACTGCTATCACTGTTGTAATGATTACTGCTATTACTGTTGTAATGATTACTGCTATTACTGTTGTAATGATTACTGCTATTACTGTTGTAATAATTACTGCTATCACTGTTGTAATGATCACTTCTATCACTGTTGTAATGATTACTGCTATTACTGTTGTAATGATTACTGCTATTACTGTTGTAATGATTACTGCTATTACTGTTGTAATGATTACTGCTATCACTGTTGTAATGATTACTGCTATTACTGTTGTAATGATTACTGCTATTACTGTTGTAATGATTACTGCTATCACTGTTGTAATGATTACTGCTATTACTGTTGTAATGATTACTGCTATCACTGTTGTAATGATTACTGCTATTACTGTTGTAATGATTACTGCTATCACTGTTGTAATGATTACTGCTATTACTGTTGTAATGATTACTGCTATCACTGTTGTAATGATTACTGCTATTACTGTTGTAATGATTACTGCTATCACTGTTGTAATGATCACTGCTATCACTGTTGTAATGATTACTGCTATTACTGTTGTAATGATTACTGCTATTACTGTTGTAATGATTACTGCTATTACTGTTGTAATGATTACTGCTATCACTGTTGTAATGATCACTTCTATCACTGTTGTAATGATTACTGCTATTACTGTTGTAATGATTACTGCTATTACTGTTGTAATGATTACTGCTATTACTGTTGTAATGATTACTGCTATTACTGTTGTAATGATTACTGCTATCACTGTTGTAATGATTACTGCTATTACTGTTGTAATGATTACTGCTATCACTGTTGTAATGATTACTGCTATTACTGTTGTAATGATTACTGCTATCACTGTTGTAATGATTACTGCTATCACTGTTGTAATGATCACTGCTATCACTGTTGTAATGATTACTGCTATTACTGTTGTAATGATTACTGCTATTACTGTTGTAATGATTACTGCTATTACTGTTGAAATGATTACTGCTATCACTGTTGTAATGATCACTTCTATCACTGTTGTAATGATTACTGCTATTACTGTTGTAATGATTACTGCTATTACTGTTGTAATGATTACTGCTATTACTGTTGTAATGATTACTGCTATTACTGTTGTAATGATTACTGCTATTACTGTTGTAATGATTACTGCTATCACTGTTGTAATGATCACTGCTATCACTGTTGTAATTATCACTGCTATCACTGTTGTAATGATCACTTCTATCACTGTTGTAATGATTACTGCTATTACTGTTGTAATGATTACTGCTATTACTGTTGTAATGATTACTGCTATTACTGTTGTAATGATTACTGCTATTACTGTTGTAATGATTACTGCTATTACTGTTGTAATGATTACTGCTATCACTGTTGTAATGATCACTGCTATCACTGTTGTAATTATCACTGCTATTACTGTTGTAATGATTACTGCTATCACTGTTGTAATGATTACTGCTATCATTGTTGTAATGATTACTGCTATCACTGTTGTAATGATCACTTCTATCACTGTTGTAATGATTACTGCTATTACTGTTGTAATGATTACTGCTATTACTGTTGTAATGATTACTGCTATTACTGTTGTAATGATTACTGCTATCACTGTTGTAATGATTACTGCTATCACTGTTGTAATGATTACTGCTATTACTGTTGTAATGATTACTGCTATCACTGTTGTAATGATTACTGCTATTACTGTTGTAATGATTACTGCTATCACTGTTGTAATGATTACTGCTATTACTGTTGTAATGATTACTGCTATTACTGTTGTAATGATTACTGCTATCACTGTTGTAATGATCACTGCTATCACTGTTGTAATGATTACTGCTATTACTGTTGTAATGATTACTGCTATTACTGTTGTAATGATTACTGCTATTACTGTTGTAATGATTACTGCTATCACTGTTGTAATGATCACTTCTATCACTGTTGTAATGATTACTGCTATTACTGTTGTAATGATTACTGCTATTACTGTTGTTATGATTACTGCTATTACTGTTGTAATGATTACTGCTATTACTGTTGTAATGATTACTGCTATTACTGTTGTAATGATTACTGCTATCACTGTTGTAATGATCACTGCTATCACTGTTGTAATTATCACTGCTATCACTGTTGTAATGATCACTTCTATCACTGTTGTAATGATTACTGCTATTACTGTTGTAATGATTACTGCTATTACTGTTGTAATGATTACTGCTATAACTGTTGTAATGATTACTGCTATTACTGTTGTAATGATTACTGCTATTACTGTTGTAATGATTACTGCTATCACTGTTGTAATGATCACTGCTATCACTGTTGTAATTATCACTGCTATTACTGTTGTAATGATTACTGCTATCACTGTTGTAATGATTACTGCTATCATTGTTGTAATGATTACTGCTATCACTGTTGTAATGATTACTGCTATCATTGTTGTAATGATTACTGCTATCACTGTTCTAATGATTACTGCTATCATTGTTGTAATGGTTACTGCTATTACTGTTGTAATGATTACTGCTATCACTGTTGTAATGATTACTGCTATTACTGTTGTAATGACCACTGCTATCATTGTTGTAATGATTACTGCTATTACTGTTGTAATGATTACTGCTATCACTGTTGTAATGATCACTTCTATCACTGTTGTAATGATCACTTCTATTACTGTTGTAATGATCACTGTTATCACTGTTGTAATGATCACTTCTATCACTGTTGTAATTATCACTACTATCACTGTTGTAATGATCACTGCTATCACTGTTGTAATAATTACTGTTATCACTGTTGTAATGATCACTTCTGTTACTGTTGTAATGATCACTTCTATTACTGTTGTAATGATCACTGCTATCACTGTAATAATGATCACTGCTATTACTGTTGTAATGATCACTGCTATCACTGTTGTAATGATTACTGCTATTACTGTTGTAATGATCACTGCTATTACTGTTGTAATGATTACTGCTATTACTGTTGTAATGATCACTTCTATCACTGTTGTAATGATCACTGCTATCACTGTAATAATGATCACTGCTATTACTGTTGTAATGATCACTGTTATCACTGTTGTAATGATTACTGTTATCACTGTTGTAATGATTACTGCTATTACTGTTGTAATGATTACTGCTATTACTGTTGTAATGATCACTTCTATCACTGTAATAATGATCACTTCTATTACTGTTGTAATGATTACTGCTATTACTGTTGTAATGATCACTGTTATCACTGTTGTAATGATTACTGCTATCACTGTTGTAATGATTACTTCTATTACTGTTGTAATGATCACTTCTATTACTGTTGTAATGATTACTTCTATTACTGTTGTAATGATCACTTCTATTACTGTTGTAATGATTACTTCTATTACTGTTGTAATGATTACTTCTATTACTGTTGTAATGATCACTTCTATTACTGTTGTAATGATCACTTCTATTACTGTTGTAATGATTACTTCTATTACTGTTGTAATGATTACTTCTATTACTGTTGTAATGATCACTTCTATTACTGTTGTAATGATTACTTCTATTACTGTTGTAATGATCACTTCTATTACTGTTGTAATGATTACTTCTATTACTGTTGTAATGATCACTTCTATTACTGTTGTAATGATTACTTCTATTACTGTTGTAATGATTACTTCTATTACTGTTGTAATGATTACTTCTATTACTGTTGTAATGATCACTTCTATTACTGTTGTAATGATCACTTCTATTACTGTTGTAATGATTACTTCTATTACTGTTGTAATGATTACTTCTATTACTGTTGTAATGATCACTTCTATTACTGTTGTAATGATTACTTCTATTACTGTTGTAATGATTACTTCTATTACTGTTGTAATGATCACTTCTATTACTGTTGTAATGATTACTTCTATTACTGTTGTAATGATTACTGCTATTACTGTTGTAATGATTACTGCTATTACTGTTGTAATGATCACTTCTATCACTGTAATAATGATCACTTCTATTACTGTTGTAATGATTACTGCTATTACTGTTGTAATGATTACTGCTATCACTGTTGTAATGATCACTTCTATCACTGTAATAATGATCACTTCTATTACTGTTGTAATGATTACTGCTATTACTGTTGTAATGATCACTGTTATCACTGTTGTAATGATTACTGCTATCACTGTTGTAATGATCACTGCTATCACTGTTGTAATGATCACTTCTATCACTGTTGTAATGATCACTGCTATTACTGTTGTAATGATTACTTCTATTACTGTTGTAATGATCACTTCTATTACTGTTGTAATGATGACTTCTATTACTGTTGTAATGATCACTTCTATTACTGTTGTAATGATCACTTCTATTACTGTTGTAATGATCACTACTATCACTGTTGTAATGATCACTTCTATTACTGTTGTAATGATCACTGCTATCACTGTTGTAATGATTACTGCTATCACTGTTGTAATGATCACTGCTATCACTGTTGTAATGATCACTGCTATCACTGTTGTAATGATCACTACTATCACTGTTGTAATGATCACTGCTATCACTGTTGTAATGATCACTGCTATTACTGTTGCTGCTCTGCCAGTGTCGACCTGTCCTGGCTGCTGTTGCTGACCCCCTGTCTAGCTTTTGTTGCTGTCCCCCTGTCCTGTCTGATACTGTCCAACAATGCTGGCTGTTGCTATTTCCCTGTCCTTGCTGTTGCTGTCCCCCTGTCCTGTCTGATACTGTCCAACAATGCTGGCTGTTGCTGTCTCCCTGTCCTGGCTGTTGTTGTGGTCCCTTTTCCTGAATGCTGCTGTCACTGCCAATGGTGCTGTTGTTGATAAAGCCGCCATGTTTGTACTTTCAGAGGCCAGAACAGAAGCGGCAGTTGATTCTCAGCGTTCTGTTCAGGTGACCTCTGACCCCAGCACGAGCTGCTTGCTGCCAGATGCCATGTTTGACCAAGGTCAGTGCCACACTCACAGTCCTCTGTCCTTTCTATCATATATAGAGTTGTGTCTGTCTAACAGTTGTCGCACAGAGAGTTGTGTTTGTCTAACAGTTGTCATACAGAGAATTGTGTTTGTCTAACAGTTGTCATACAGAGAGTTGTGTTTGTCTAACAGTTGTCATACAGAGAGTTGTGTTTGTCTAACAGTTGTCATACAGAGAATTGTGTTTGTCTAACAGTTGTCATACAGAGAGTTGTGTTTGTCTAACAGTTGTCGCACAGAGAGTTGTGTTTGTCTAACAGTTGCCATACAGAGAGTTGTGTTTGTCTAACAGTTGTCATACAGAGAGTTGTGTTTGTCAAACAGTTGTCATACAGAGAGTTGTGTTTATCTAACAGTTGTCATACAGAGAGTTGTGTTTGTCTAACAGTTGTCATACAGAGAGTTGTGTTTGTCTAAAAGTTGCCATACAGAGAGTTGTGTTTGTCTAACAGTTGTCATACAGAGAGTTGTGTTTGTCTAACAGTTGTCATACAGAGAGTTGTGTTTGTCTAACAGTTGTCATACAGAGAGTTGTGTTTGTCTAACAGCTGTCATACAGAGAGTTGTGTTTGTCTAACAGTTGTCATACAGAGAGTTGTGTTTGTCTAACAGTTGTCATACAGAGAGTTGTGTTTGTCTAACAGTTGTCATACAGAGAGTTGTGTTTGTCTAACAGTTGTCATACAGAGAGTTGTGTTTGTCTAACAGTTGTCATACAGAGAGTTGTGTTTGTCTAACAGTTGTCATACAGAGAGTTGTGTTTGTCTAACAGTTGTCATACAGAGAGTTGTGTTTGTCTAACAGTTGTCATACAGAGAGTTGTGTTTGTCTAACAGTTGTCATACAGAGAGTTGTGTTTGTCTAACAGTTGTCATACAGAGAGTTGTGTTTGTCTAACAGTTGTCATACAGAGAGTTGTGTTTGTCTAACAGTTGTCATACAGAGAGTTGTGTTTGTCTAACAGTTGTCATACAGAGAGTTGTGTATGTCTAACAGTTGTCATACAGAGGGTTGTGTTTATCTAACAGTTGTCATACAGAGAGTTGTGTTTGTCTAACAGTTGTCATACAGAGAGTTGTGTTTGTCTAACAGTTGTCATACAGAGAGTTGTGTTTATCTAACAGTTGTCATACAGAGAGTTGTGTTTGCCTAACAGTTGTCATACAGAGAGTTGTGTTTATCTAACAGTTGTCATACAGAGAGTTGTGTTTGTCTAACAGTTGTCATACAGAGAGTTGTGTTTGTCTAACAGTTGTCATACAGAGAGTTGTGTTTGTCTAACAGTTGTCATACAGAGAGTTGTGTTTGTCTAACAGTTGTCATACAGAGAATTGTGTTTGTCTAACAGTTGTCATACAGAGAGTTGTGTTTGTCTAACAGTTGTCATACAGAGAATTGTGTTTGTCTAACAGTTGTCATACAGAGACTTGTGTTTGTCTAACAGTTGTCATACAGAGAGTTGTGTTTGTCTAACAGTTGTCATACAGAGAGTTATGTTTGTCTAACAGTTGTCATACAGAGAATTGTGTTTGTCTAACAGTTGTCATACAGAGAGTTGTGTTTGTCTAACAGTTGTCATACAGAGAGTTGTGTTTATCTAACAGTTGTCATACAGAGAGTTGTGTTTGTCTAACAGTTGTCATACAGAGAGTTGTGTTTGTCTAACAGGTTATCATACAGAGAGTTGTGTTTGTCTAACAGGTTGTCATACAGAGAGTTGTGTTTGTCTAACAGTTGTCATACAGAGAGTTGTGTTTGTCTAACAGGTTGTCATACAGAGAATTGTGTTTGTCTAACAGTTGTCATACAGAGGGTTGTGTTTATCTAACAGTTGTCATACAGAGAGTTGTGTTTGTCTAACAGTTGTCATACAGAGAGTTGTGTTTGTCTAACAGTTGTCATACAGAGAGTTGTGTTTATCTAACAGTTGTCATACAGAGAGTTGTGTTTGTCTAACAGTTGTCATACAGAGAGTTGTGTTTATCTAACAGTTGTCATACAGAGAGTTGTGTTTGTCTAACAGTTGTCATACAGAGAGTTGTGTTTCTCTAAAAGTTGTCACACAGAGAGTTGTGTTTGTCTAACAGTTGTCATACAGAGAGTTGTGTTTGTCTAACAGTTGTCATACAGAGAGTTGTGTTTGTCTAAAAGTTGTCACACAGAGAGTTGTGTTTGTCTAAAAGTTGTCATACAGAGAGTTGTGTTTATCTAACAGTTGTCATACAGAGAGTTGTGTTTATCTAACAGTTGTCATACAGAGAGTTGTGTTTGTCTAACAGTTGTCATAAGAGAGTTGTGTTTGTCTAAAAGTTGCCATACAGAGAGTTGTGTTTGTCTAACAGTGCCATACAGAGAGTTGTGTTTATCTAACAGTTGTCATACAGAGAATTGTGTTTGTCTAACAGGTTGTCACGAGGTGGAGGTGGAAGCAGACGGACAAGAAGCTTCATTTAAGTGGGAGAAATGTCAGAAGAATGTGGGTCACGTTAATTTTATCAAACCTGTAGAATTCTCAATGAGCCACCTGCCGGCGGCACATGATGATGATGACATCTACACTTACATCAAGTTGTGGTCCCAGCTGGTGGTCAGGCTCAAGGTCAACTATATCAGCAGACGGCGTCATCAAGGTTACGCCTTTCACAACTTCCGGGGCAGACGTATGCAGATCACAGGTCAGAGACTGGCCGCTGGCTGAGTTGCTTCTGTTATAGCCTGCTATTGAAATTGTGCCAAACTTCACAAAAATCTATAGGTTCACGATTATCACCCCAGCCGAACTAGGTCACATTCCATTGATACATTTTGTAGGCGCGTCTGCCGTCCAGGAAGGGAGAGGGTGTTGGGTTACGGCTATGGTGTTTCCTTTCTGGCTTGTCTTGCATTTACACTTTTTTTTCTGGGAAAGCGAATTTCGGTAACATAGGTTGCAGAACTCTATAGGGGGGGGGGGTTGTGGGTTAGACCCAGTTTCTATATGTTTTTGTAATGTTCAAAGCGCTGGCGTGCTTAAGTATACAACCCGCTATTGCAAGGGAATTGCCGAACACCCTCTAGCAGTCGGGTAACTGGAGTTTGACCTATCAGAAGTGAGCCAGTGTGTACCATGGGGAGATTATCGTAGAACTCCAAATCTAGAACTCAGCAGCCATTAGGTAATCTGGTAATCTGGTAATCCTAGTTTCAGCATCATAGCAAACGGGTCACCCCATTGTTGCTCCGCTCCTGTGCCAACGAAAAACACTCGTAGCTCACAGTGTCACACCATGCACTCAACTCAGAAGCTGGGTGACTTGTGGCATGATGACTGTTTGTTAATAACCATGTGCTTGTATGAATTGTGTTTTAAATGTAAACAAACATGTATGTTTGTGTGTGTGTGTGTGTGTGTGTGTGTGTGTGTGTGTGTGTGTGTGTGTGTGTGTGTGTTGGTTGTTGCTTGTTTGGGGTAAATTTAAAAAAAAAACGACAAAGTTTCAAAGCAGTCAGCATTCTTACAATGAACTGAGGAACCAGAACTATCCAAACATCCGACTGCAAGCGAGTCGTAGGCGTTTTACTCTCATGTGGTCTCTCCATCATTTGTCTTCTATGTTGTTGATTTTCCATTGTGTGCGGGATAGACTGTCAAATTAATAAAAACGCATACATGTGCATTGATTTCCGAACACATGTGTCTCAAATACCCTTTATTCTATTCTTAGAGGTTAGTTAGTCTTTCCTTTTGTGTCGAGTGCGGCACATAGGGCAGAGGTCATGACTCTCCATGCATGGCGGTTCGTTGCAATCCGTTGTAGGTCTTGGATGTTTGAGTGGCCCATGAGCGAGCCTTCCCTGATGATAGTTCTACGTAGGGTTTCCCTTGGTCTTCCACGAGATTTTTTCCCCTGTGGTGTCCAAATGAGGGCTTGGTAAGGAAGTCTTGATTTATCCATTCTAAGGGCGTGGCCGACATAGTTCCAGCGGCGTTTTCGTATAAAATTAGACACATAATCTTGCCTAGATTCTTGCCTTATTTGTGTATTTGTTCGGAAATCTGACCATTTGAAATTTAGTATTCTTCTAAGGCATTTATTTTCAAAACTGTCTAATTGTGTGTCTAGAGTTTTCGTTGATTTCCAGCTCTCGCATTCATAGGTTAGTACTGGAATCACACAAGAATTGAAGATCTTGAGTTTTGTGTGTTTGCTAAGTGTCTTTGATTTCCAAATGTTAGACAGTTTATTGAAGGCACTAGATGCCAGTGCTATTCTAAATGGTATTTCTGGTGCGGTATCTCCTGTAGATGACATCTTGCTCCCTAGATAAGTGAAACTGTTGACTTTTTCAAGGCTGTTTTTGTTCAGCGTGATATCAACTGAACTGTTGGTAAAGTCTAGAATTTTTGTTTTTGCGGTGTTAATTTGGAGTCCAATTTGTTCTGAGAATTTCTGGAGTCGATTGATTTTTTCTTGGGCGTCTGTGTGTTCTGAACTCAGGAGTGCTATGTCGTCGGCAAAGTCTAGGTCTTCTAGAATTTTGTCAACCCATGTAATGCCTAAATTTGCGTTATTTATGCACTTGCGCATGACCCAGTCGATTGCTATACCAAAAAGCATCGGCGATAGGACACAGCCTTGCTTCACTCCTGTTTCCACTTCTTAGAGGTACACAAATTATTATTTATACAAAGATCAAATAAATTCGCCGCTAGATGAAAATAGCAGCACCTGTACAATTGTAAATTAAAAAATATTAAAAACATGGGAAATCAAAGACCACGTGTTGATCTGTGCAGGAGTTTTGGTGATATTTGTTGAATCGTGGAAAGAAGAAGACCTACCACAGAGATGAATGGAGGCGGGTGATATCTGCAGCAATAAACCTCAAGGACTCAGAATGCTGAAGAATACCTACCACAGAGATGAATGGAGACGGGCGATATCTGCAGCAATGAACCTCAAGGACTCAGAATGCTGAAGAATACCTACCACAGAGATGAATGGAGACGGGCGATATCTGCAGCAATGAACCTCAAGGACTCAGAATGCTGAAGAATACCTACCACAGAGATTAATGGAGACGGGCGATATCTGCAGCAATGAACCTCAAGGGCTCAGAATGCTGAAGAATACCTACCACAGAGATGAATAGAGACGGGTGATATCTGCAGCAATGAACCTCAAGGGCTCAGAATGCTGAAGAAGACCCAGAGAGATGAATGGAGGCGGGTGATATCTGCAGCAATGAACCTCAAGGGCTCAGAATGCTGAAGAATACCTACCACAGAGATGAATGGAGACGGGTGATATCTGCAGCAATGAACCTCAAGGGCTCAGAATGCTGAAGAAGACCAACCAGGGAGATGAATGGAGGCGGGTGATATCTGCAGCAATGAACCTCAAGGGCTCAGAATGCTGAAGAAGACCAACCAGAGAGATGAATGGAGGCGGGTGATATCTGCAGCAATGAACCTCAAGGGCTCAGAATGCTGAAGAATACCTACCACAGAGATGAATGGAGACGGGTGATATCTGCAGCAATGAACCTCAAGGGCTCAGAATGCTGAAGAATACCTACCACAGAGATGAATGGAGACGGGCGATATCTGCAGCAGTGAACCCCAAGGGCTCAGAATGATGAAGAAGAAGTTGAAGCTGAAAAAAGAAGTGGGGGCGTCCGTTTTGAAACGCAAAACAGTTGACTGGGAGCTTTGGTTGGATAAAATGGAGTATGTAGATTTACAGACTGAGACATGCAGATCGATGAGTGAAAGACAGAAACCGACAGTTGGGCGGAGACAGTTGGGTGAAGACAGTTGGGCGGAGACAGTAGGGTGAAGACAGTTGGGTGAAGACAGTTGGGCGGAGACAGTTGGGCTGAGACAGTTGGGCGGAGACAGTTGGGTGAAGACAGTTGAGTGAAGAAAATTGGGCGTAGAAAGCTAGGTGAAGACAGTTGGGTGGAAACAGTTGGATGAAGACAGTTGGGTGGAAACAGTTTGGCGGACACAGTTGGGTGAAGACAGTTGGGTGGAAACAGTTGGGTGAAGACAGTTGGGTGGAAACAGTTTGGCGGAGACAGTTGGGTGAAGACAGTTGGGTGGAAACAGTTAGGTGAAGACAGTTGGGTGGAAACAGTTGGGTGAAGACACTTGGGTGGAAACAGTTGGATGAAGACAGCTGGGCTGAGACAGATAGACTGAAGGAGACAGTAGGAGACAAGCAGATAAACAAACTGACCAATGATGTCCGGAGTGCAATGAGGATAACCCAACAAACTGACCAATGATGTCCGGAGTGCAATGAGGATAACCCAACAAACTGACCAATGATGTTAGTTATTTGTGTGCAAGAGGAAAACCAATCTTAGTGTGGGTTACAGCTGTGTTGATAATGAATGGCATTCTTGTTGTTGTTGTTGTTGATGATGGTGAAAATTGTTGCTGTTGTTATTGTTGGTGTTGATGGTGAAGATTGGTGTTGTTGTTGATGTTGTTGTTGATGTTGATAGTGACATTTGTTGATGTTGCTGATGTTAAAGTTTGTTGTTGTCGACGGTGTAGATTGTAGTGGTTGTTGTTGATGGTGACGATTGTTGATGTTGTTGTTGATGGTGAAGATTGTTGATGTTGTTGTTGATGGTGACGATTGTTGATGTTGTTGTTGATGGTGACGATTGTAGTGGTTGTTGTTGATGGTGACGATTGTTGATGTTGTTGTTGATGGTGACGATTGTTGATGTTGTTGTTGATGGTGACGATTGTTGATGTTGTTGTTGATGGTGACGATTGTTGATGTTGTTGTTGATGGTGACGATTGTTGATGTTCTTGTTGATGAAGGTAAAGAATGTTGTTGATGGTGAAGATTACTGTGGTTGTTGATGGTAAAGACTGTTGTTGCTAATGAGGATTGTTGTTGTTGGCTGCAGGAACGGGCAAGGTTGCAGAGATATCTACGGTGACCAACAGCCCGTGTCCTTGTCCAGAATGTCGCAACTCTAACAGTCCAAAAACAGTAAGTAGATGGTCTTATGTCAGAGAAACAGTGGGCACGGACACCAGACAGTCCAAAAACAGAAAGTAGATAGTCTTATGTCAGAGAAACATTGGACACGGACACCAGACAGTCTAAAAACAGTAAGTAGATAGTCTTATGTCAGAGAAACATTGGACACGGACATCAGAAACAGTAAGTAGATAGTCTTATGTCAGAAAAACATTGGACACAGACACCAGACAGTCCAAAAACAGTACGTAAATGGTCTTATTTCAGAGAAACATTGGACACAGACACCAGACAGTCCAAAAACAGCAAGTAGATAGTCTTATGTCAGAGAAACATTAGACACAGACAACAAAAACAGTAAGTAGATAGTCTTATTTCAGAGAAACATTGGACACAGACACCAGAAACAGTCAGTACACAGTCTTATGTCAGAGAAACATTGGACACGGACACCAGACAGTCCAAAAACAGTAAGTAGATAGTCTTATGTCAGAGAAACATTGGACACGGACACCAGACAGTCCAAAAACAGTAAGTAGATAGTCTTATGTCAGAGAAACATTGGACACAGACACCAGACAGTCCAAAAACAGTAAGTAGATAGTCTCATGTCAGAGAAACATTGGACACGGACACCAGAAACAGTAAGTAGATAGTCTAATGTCAGAGAAACATTGGACACGGACACCAGAAACAGTAAGTAGATATTCTTATGTCAGAGAAACATTGGACACGGACACCAGACAGTCCGAAAACAGTAAGTAGATAGTCTTATGTCAGAGAAACTTTGGACACGGACACCAAAAACAGTAAGTAGATAGTCTTTTGTCAGAGAAACATTGGACACGGACACCCAAAAAACAGTAAGTAGATAGTCTTATGTCAGAGAAACATTGGACACGGACACCAAAAACAGTAAGTAGATAGTCTTATGTCAGAGAAACATTTGACACGGACACCAAAAACAGTAAGTAGATAGTCTTATGTCAGAGAAACATTAGGCACGGACACCAGACAGTCCAAAAACAGTAAGTAGATAGTCTTATGTCAGAGAAACATTGGACACAGACACCAGACAGTCCAAAAACAGTAAGTAGATAGTCTTATGTCAGAGAAACATTGGACACAGACACCAGACAGTCCAAAAACAGCAAGTAGATAGTCTTATGTCAGAGAAACATTAGACACAGACAACAAAAACAGTAAGTAGATAGTCTTATTTCAGAGAAACATTGGACACAGACACCATATAGTTCAGAAATAATCAATGATCTCCAGTGAAACAAAAACGAGACATTTCAGAATCTGTAGATGAACTTCAGTGACACAAACATCAGACAGTTCAGAGACAGTAGATGAATTTCAGTGACTCAGGCATTAGACAGTTCAGAGAAAATAGATGAACTTCAGTGACTCAGACATCAGACAGTTCAGAGACAGTAGATAAACTTCAGTGACACAAACATCAGACAGTTCAGAGACAGTAAATGAACGTGAGTGACACAAACATCAGACAGTTCGGGGACAGTAAATGAACGTGAGTGACACAGACATCAGACAGTTCAGGACAGTAGATGAACTTCAGTGACTTAGACATCAGACAGTTCAGAGACAGTAAATGAACGTTAGTGACACAGACATCAGACAGTTCAGAGACAGTAGATGAACTTCAGTGACACAAACATCAGACAGTTCAGAGACAGTAGATGAACTACAGTGACACAGACATCAGACAGTTCAAAAACGGTAGGTGAACATGTGCAACACAGACTGTCCCAATCTGCTACTTGAACTAAAGCCTTTGGGGAAAGTGTTTTTCTATAAAGATCTTCATCATATATATTTTTCTGTACATCGGTGGTTGTGAGATGTGATGATGAGACCTGTTTCTATAGACTAGTGGTTGTGAGATGTGATGATGAGACCTGTTTCTGTAGACTAGTGGTTGTGAGATATGATGATGAGACCTGTTTCTGTAGACTAGTGGTTGTGAGATGTGATGATGACACCTGTTTCTGTAGACTAGTGGTTGTGAGATTGATGATGAGACCTGTTTCTGTAGACCAGTGGTTGTAAGATGTGATGATGAGACCTGTTTCTGTGGACTAGTGGTTGTGAGATGTGATGATGAGACCTGTTTCTGTAGACTAGTGGTTGTGAGATGTGATGAGACATGTTTCTGTAGACTAGTGGTTGTGAGATGTGATGATGAGACCTGTTTCTGTAGACCAGTGGTTGTAAGATGTGATGATGAGACCTGTTTCTGTGGACTAGTGGTTGTGAGATGTGATGATGAGACCTGTTTCTGTAGACCAGTGGTTGTAAGATGTGATGATGAGACCTGTTTCTGTAGACTAGTGGTTGTGAGATGTGATGATGAGACCTGTTTCTGTAGACCAGTGGCTGTGAGATGTGATGATGAGACCTGTTTCTGTAGACCAGTGGCTGTGAGATGTGATGATGAGACCTGTTTCTGTAGACCAGTGGTTGTGAGATGTGATGATGAGACCTGTTTCTGTAGACCAGTGGTTGTAAGATGTGATGATGAAACCTGTTTCTGTAGACTAGTGGTTGTGAGATGTGATGATGAGACCTGTTTCTGTAGACCAGTGGCTGTGAGATGTGATGATGAGACCTGTTTCTGTAGACTAGTGGTTGTGAGATGTGAGGATGACACCTGTTTCTGTAGACCAGTGGCTGTGAGATGTGATGATGAGACCTGTTTCTGCTACCTGTATAAAAGACCGGCTTATGTGCTTGTCCTCAGGTGTGGAAGGCCATCTGGATCATGTCTGCCATGCACGTCGTGTTCGATGACTCGGAAGTGGTGGAGACTGATGCAGAACTTTTCTATGACGAGCCAGACAACAGTGATGGAGTCAGGAAGCTGCATGGGGTTCGGATTGTAGACGCCAACATCAGAGGTGACTGGAGCAAGTTCGAGTGCGCCACGCACGACCTTGAACTCGGCCAGCTCTTGGAAGACATCGACGCTAAAGTTCTCCAGCTAGGGGAGATCATCAGAGAAAAACATCTGGCTCACAAATTTCCTCCCTTGGCAGTGATCGCCTCCCATCCTCACGGGTGCTCCAAGCGAATCACAGTGGGACAATGGACAGACAGAAAGCTGGTAAAGAACCCGGAGGAAAATTACGAGTGGACAGAATATGTGTACACAACATCCACATGTACGGGCTGTAGTGGGGCGCCTGTGTGGATCATCGGGCCCCAGAGGGACCACTACTCGTACAACTACTACAGCCATGTACACAGTGAGGGCCTCAAGTCGGGCCTCAACAAGAGTGGTGCCGGTGACGTGGAAAAGCGATGGGATGAAAACTAAACTGTTGGCGTTAGGCAGTCACACCCCAGACAATATTGAATCCATTCGCTCATTCTTAGTTCCTTCATTTTCTCCGTCCTGTCTTCCAGCTTCTATCCTTGACTGAAGGTTGTTTGTGTGTATATCCCCTTCTACCCTTGACTGTAGATACAGACTGGTGGTTGTTTGTGTGTATATCCCCTTCTATCCTTGACTGTAGATACAAACTGGTGGTTGTTTCTGTGTATATCCCCTTCTATCCTTGACTGTAGATACAAACTGGTGGTTGTTTCTGTGTATATCCCCTTCTATCCTTGACTGTAGATACAAACTGGTGGTTGTTTGTGTGTGTGTATATCCCCTTCTACCCTTGACTGTAGATACAAACTGGTGGTTGTTTGTGTGTATATCCCCTTCTATCCTTGACTGTAGATACAAACTGGTGGTTGATGTGTGTATATCTCCTTCTATCCTTGACTGTAGATACAATCTGGTGGTTGATGTGTGTATATCTCCTTCTATCCTTGACTGTAGATACAAACTGGTGGTTGTTTCTGTGTATATCCCCTTCTATCCTTGACTGAAGGTTGTTTGTGTGTATATCCCCTTCTACCCTTGACTGTAGATACAGACTGGTGGTTGTTTGTGTGTATATCCCCTTCTATCCTTGACTGTAGATACAAACTTGTGGTTGTTTCTGTGTATATCCCCTTCTATCCTTGACTGTAGATACAAACTGGTGGTTGTTTCTGTGTATATCCCCTTCTATCCCTGACTGTAGATACAAACTGGTGGTTGTTTGTGTGTGTGTATATCCCCTTCTACCCTTGACTGTAGATACAAACTGGTGGTTGTTTGTGTGTATATCCCCTTCTATCCCTGACTGTAGATACAAACTGGTGGTTGATGTGTGTATATCTCCTTCTATCCTTGACTGTAGATACAATCTGGTGGTTGATGTGTGTATATCTCCTTCTATCCTTGACTGTAGATACAAACTGGTGGTTGATGTGTGTATATCTCCTTCTATCCTTGACTGTAGATACAATCTGGTGGTTGATGTGTGTATATCTCCTTCTATCCTTGACTGTAGATACAAACTGGTGGTTGATGTGTGTATATCTCCTTCTATCCTTGACTGTAGATACAATCTGGTGGTTGATGTGTGTATATCTCCTTCTATCCTTGACTGTAGATACAATCTGGTGGTTGATGTGTGTATATCTCCTTCTATCCTTGACTGTAGATACAAACTGGTGGTTGATGTGTGTATATCTCCTTCTATCCTTAACTGTAGATACAAACTGGTGGTTGATGTGTGTATATCTCCTTCTATCCTTGACTGTAGATACAAACTGGTGGTTGATGTGTGTATATCTCCTTCTATCCTTGACTGTAGATACAAACTGGTGGTTGTTTCTGTGTATATCCCCTTCTACCCTTGACTGTAGATACAAACTGGTGGTTGTTTCTGTGTATATCTCCTTCTACCATTGACTGTAGATACAAACTGGTGGTTGTTTCTGTGTATATCCCCTTCAACCCTTGACTGTAGATACAAACTGGTGGTTGTTTGTGTGTATATCCCCTTCTACCCTTGACTGTAGATACAAACTGGTATTTGTTTCTGTGTATATCCCCTTCTACCCTTGACTGTAGATACAAACTGGTGGTTGTTTCTGTGTATATCCCCTTCTACCCTTGACTGTAGAAACAAACTGGTGTTTGTTTGTATCTGTGTATATCCCCTTCTATCCTTGACTGTAGATACAAACTTGTGGTTGTTTCTGTGTATATCCCCTTCTACCCTTGACTGTAGATACAAACTGGTGGTTGTTTCTGTGTATATCCCCTTCTATCCTTGACTGTAGATACAGACTGGTGGTTGTTTGTGTGTATATCTCCTTCTATCCTTGACTGTAGATACAAACTTGTGGTTGTTTGTGTGTATATCCCCCTCTACCCTTGACTGTAGATACAAACTGGTGGTTGTTTCTGTGTATATCCCCTTCTATCCTTGACTGTAGATACAAACTGGTGGTTGATGTGTGTATATCTCCTTCTATCCTTGACTGTAGATACAAACTTGTGGTTGTTTGTGTGTATATCTCCCTCTATCCTTGACTGTAGATACAAACTGGTGGTTGTTTCTGTGTATATCCACTTCTACCCTTGACTGTAGATACAAACTGGTGGTTGTTTGTGTGTATATCCCCTTCTATCCTTGACTGTAGATACAGACTGGTGGTTGTTTGTGTGTATATACCCTTCTACCCTTGACTGTAGATACAGACTGGTGGTTGTTTGTGTGTATATGTCCTTCTACCCTTGACTGTAGATACAAACTGGTGGTTGTTTGTGTGTATATCTTCTTCTATCCTTGACTCTAGATACAAACTGGTGGTTGTTTGTGTGTATATCTTCTTCTATCCTTGATTGTAGATACAGACTGGTGGTTGTTTGTGTGTATATGTCCTTCTATCCTTGACTGTAGATACAGACTGGTGGTTGTTTGTGTGTATATCTTCTTCTATCCTTGATTGTAGATACAAACTGGTGGTTGTTTGTGTGTATATCCCCTTCTACCCTTGACTGCAGAGAAAAGCTGGTGGCTTTAGCCCGCTTTTGCAGTGACGTCAGCCGCTTGATAACATAATTGGAACAACCATCCCAAATTGTGTAGTCTATATATGTCAGGATGTGAGAAATATAAAATATTTTTCTTGTGTTTTCATCAAGAAGGTTTTTAATTTTTTGCGAGTAGGTAAACCTTTTCAGGTGTTTGTTTCACCAGTGCTTGTACATGAGAAAGTTAGATGTGCATCAATGACCAACCCTAGTGCATTGTGTTCAGATACCCTGTTTACTTGAGTCTTCCCAATGTAGAGTTGAAGCACTCTCTGTGAATTTAAACTGGATAGTTTTTGTCTAGTCGTTTTAAGCAAAGATTTTGTTTTATTCATATTTATTTGCATACTGTTTGATCTACACCATTTGACTACATTGTTTAATGCTTGTTGTAATAACGACTCAGGTATATTGCATGTTTGGGATTTGCATAGATAGCATAGTCGTTTGTGAATAAATCGCAGGACCATGACAGACATAAGGGAAGACTATTTATGTAAATATTGAACACAAGAGGGAAGAGAATCGAGCCTTGAGGTACCCCAGTATTTAAGGTAGTTGTCTGCGATAGTGATTTATTGTATGAGACAATTTGTTTCTTATTTAACAAAAATGATTTTTTTAACTTCAATAGCCTAGGGGTAAATTTCATTGTTTCTAATGTTCTAATAAGAATGTTATGGACAATTTGTTTCTTATTTAACAAAAATGATTTTATTAACTTCAATAGCCTAGGGGTAAATTTCATTGTTTCTAATGTTCTAATAAGAATGTTATGGACAATTTGTTTCTTATTTAACAAAAATGATTTTATTAACTTCAATAGCCTAGGGGTAAATTTCATTGTTTCTAATGTTCTAATCAGAATGTTATGGTCTATCATGTCAAAAGCTTTCTTCAAGTCTACAAACAGCCCTCCACATATTTTTCGTGAATATTCTGATGAAAGTTTTCAATCATGTTTGTTTTAATGACGCTAGAGAACACAACACACACACACATACACACACACACGCACACACACACGCGCGCGCGCGTCGTGTAACTGACTCAGAAAGCATGCTAAGTAAGATTAGGACAGGCATGCTTCGTCCAGAGTGGCATGCTTCGCTGCCGAGGACACGGGTGAGGGATATATTCTCTGGATTTTTCACCGGGTCACGCCGGTATGTTGGGAAATGAACAGGGGGACAGACTGGCTGACTCTGCACAGCTTGCTTGAATACTGATGCATGATTCTATCCTTGACTGTAAAAATAAACTAGTGCTCGTGTGCTATGTACATCCCCCTCTATCCTTGACTGTAAAAATAAACTAGTGCTCGTGTGCTATGTACATCCCCCTCTATCCTTGACTGTAAAAATAAACTAGTGCTCGTGTGCTATGTACATCCCCCTCTATCCTTGACTGTAAAAATAAACTAGTGCTCGTGTGCTATGTACATCCCCCTCTATCCTTGACTGTAAAAATAAACTAGTGCTCGTGTGCTATGTACATCCCCCTCTATCCTTGACTGTAAATATAAACTAGTGCTTGTGTGTTGTTTATGTCCTCTTCTATCCTTGACTGTAAAAATAAACTAGTGCTCGTGTGTTGTGTATGTCTTCTTCTATCCTTGACTGTAGATATAAACTGGTGCTCGTGTGCTGTGTATGTCCTCTTCTATCCTTGACTGTAGATATAAACTGGTGCTCGTGTGCTGTGTATGTCCTCTTCTATCCTTGACTGTAGATATAAACTGGTGCTCGTGTGCTGTGTATGTCCTCTTCTATCCTTGACTGTAGATATAAACTAGTGCTCGTGTGTTGTGTATGTCTTCTTCTATCCTTGACTGTAGATATAAACTGGTGCTCTTGTGCTGTGTATGTCCTCTTCTATCCTTGACTGTAGATATAAACTGGTGCTCGTGTGCTGTGTATGTCCTCTTCTATCCTTGACTGTAGATATAAACTGGTGCTCGTGTGCTGTGTATGTCCTCTTCTATCCTTGACTGTAGATATAAACTGGTGCTCGTGTGCTGTGTATGTCTTCTTCTATCCTTGACTGTAGATATAAACTAGTGCTCGTGTGCTATGTATGTCCTCTTCTATCCTTGACTGTAGATATAAACTGGTGCTCGTGTGCTGTGTATGTCCTCTTCTATCCTTGACTGTAGATATAACCTGGTGCTCGTCTGCTGTGTATGTCTTCTTCTATCCTTGACTGTAGATATAAACTAGTGCTCGTGTGCTGTGTGTCTTCTTCTATCCTTGACTGTAGATACAAACTGGTGATCGTGTGCTGATTACATCCCCCTCTATCCTTGGCTGAAGATAACAGCTGGTGGTTGTATGCTGTTCATATCTCCTTTTATCCTTGACTGTGGATGAAAGGTACTGGTTGTGTGTATATGGTTGTGTGCATCCTATTCTGTCCGTGAATCTAGACACAAAATAGTGGTTGTGAATTGTGTATATCCCCTTCTACCCTTGACTGGAGAGAAAAATTGGTGGCTTTGTGTTGTGTCCTTTAACAATTGGTGATTTTACCAATAATTCAGATGACATCAAACTAAGCAATCAAATTTACGAAAAATGCAGCAGCTTTACATACTTATTAAATAAGAGGACCAAGACAAGAGACGGACACACAGTAGTCAGAGAGAGTGTACAACCAAGACAAGAGACAGACACACAGTAGTCAGAGAGAGTGTACAACCAAGACAAGAGATGGACAGACACCAGTCGGAGAGATTTTACAACCAAGACAATAGATGGACAGACAGTAGTCAGAGAGAGTGTACAATCAAGACAAGAGATGGACAGACACCAGTCGGAGAGAGAGTTAACAACCAAGACAAGAGATGGACAGACAGTAGTCAGAGAGAGTGTACAATCAAGACAAGAGACGGACACACAGTAGTCAGAGAGAGTGTACAACCAAGACAAGAGATGGACAGACAGTAGTCAGAGAGAGTGTACAACAAAGACAAGAGACGGACAGACAGTAGTCAGAGAGAGTGTACAACCAAGACAAGAGATGGACACACAGTAGTCAGAGAGAGTGTACAACCAAGACAAGAGATGGACAGACAGTAGTCAGAGAGAGTGTACAACCAAGACAAGAGACGGACAGACAGTAGTCAGAGAGAGTGTACAACCAAGACAAGAGATGGACACACAGTAGTCAGAGAGAGTGTACAACCAAGACAAGAGATTGACAGACAGTAGTCAGAGAGAGTGTACAACCAAGACAAGAGACGGACAGACAGTAGTCAGAGAGAGTGTACAACCAAGACAAGAGATGGACACACAGTAGTCAGAGAGAGTGTACAACCAAGACAAGAGATGGACAGACAGTAGTCAGAGAGAGTGTACAACCAAGACAAGAGATGGACAGACAGAAGTCAGAGAGAGTGTACAACCAAGACAAGAGATGGACAGACAGTAGTCAGAGAGAGTGTACAACCAAGACAAGAGATGAACAGACAGCAGTTAGAGAGAGTGTACAACCAAGACAAGAGATGGACAGACAGAAGTCAAAGAGAGTGTACAACCAAGACAAGAGATGGACAGACAGTAGTCAGAGAGAGTGTACAACCAAGACAAGAGATGAACAGACAGCAGTTAGAGAGAGTGTACAACCAAGACAAGAGATGGACAGACAGTAGTCAGAGAGAGTGTACAATCAAGACAAGAGACGGACAGACAGCAGTTAGAGAGAGTTTACAACCAAGACAAGAGATGGACAGACAGAAGTCAGAGAGAGTCTGCACAACCAAGACAACAGACAGAGCGTGTTGGAAATCCATTAGAGCCAACCTTCTTTGTCTAGAGGACAACGTATTGACTGTTTGTCTCACACGCAGCTACTGACAATTCGTTTGCCTCCAGTCCTACAATGAATAAATAACTGGCTTAAACAAAAACAAAAATAACTAGAACAGAAACAACGGTAACAACAACACAACAAAAACACCAAAAAACAATAACAACAACCAAAAGATTAGGTTATTTCAAGCCAGACACACCACAGTCTCGTATGGCTGTAGTACAACGTGGCTTCAGTAGGGAGTGTTGCCTAACTACTGAACGTGAAATTACCTGGAAAACAACAACAGGCAACATGCTGGGATTGGCTCTACAAAGTTCTGTCGGGGATACGCAACTAACTTTTTATCTAGTCGAGTATTGTGTGTCTTATGTTGAGACTAGACAGAATTGTGTCTGTTGTGTTGTAACGGGACAGTGTTGTGTCTGCTATGCCGATGAACTGCTGCAGGTGCAGGGTGTGGTCCTTCTTTGCCGTCTCTACCACGTATCCTATCCTTGCTCAAACATCGTGGCAGTCACAGCCCGGCACTGACGTGGCAGTCACAGCCCGGCACTGACGTGGACCGCTGTCATCAGATCTAGGCTGGATATCTGCTCAGTGCAGCCAGTCGTCTTCTTCGAGTCGCTTCTGTTGACAGTCAAATATAAGATATCACAGTAGGTATTTCTTTTCCGTTCACAGTCAAATATAAGATATCACAATAGGTATTTCTTTTCCGTTCACAGTCAACTACCACAGATCACAATAGGTATTTCTTCTCTTTTGACAGTCAACTACAACATATCACAGTAGGTATTTCTTCTCTTTTGACAGTCAACTACCACATATCACAGTAGGTATTTCTTTTCCGTTCACAGTCAACTACCACAGATCACAGTAGGTATTTCTTCTCTTTTGACAGTCAACTACCACATATCACAGTAGGTATTTCTTCTCTTTTGACAGTCAACTACCACATATCACAGTAGGTATTTCTTCTCTTTTTACAGTCAACTACCACATATCACAGTAGGTATTTCTTTTCCGTTCACAGTCAACTACCACAGATTACAGTAGGTATTTCTTCTCTTTTTACAGTCAACTACCACATATCACAGTAGGTATTTCTTCTCTTTTGACAGTCAACTACCACATATCACAGTACGTATTTCTTCTCTTTTGACAGTCAACTACCACATATCACAGAGGGTATTTCTTCTCTGTTCAGAGTGGCAGTCTAAATCGAATCACACATTTCTTCTGTTCGCAGTAACATAACCTATAAGACATCAAAAAAAAATTTCTGTTCACAGTAACATAACCCATAAAACAGCAAATATTTCTTTTGTTTACAGTAACATAACCAATAAGTCAGCAAATGTTTCTTCTGCTCGCAGTAACATAACCTATGAGATAGTAAATAATTCTTCTGTTCACAGTAACATAACCTATAACACAGTAAAAATTGCTTCTGCTCTCAGTAATCTGAACAACGCAATGATTGTCTTGCTAAAGCGATTCTCGGTGTTAACGAGAGGTTAGATTTTGAGTTGCAATGAATTTGATGCAGCTAAGGATTCTTGTCAAGAATTCACGCCACTTCTGCTTTGACAATGGAGGCATCATTTTTTTTTTCTTTTAGATGGAAAGAGTTAAGAAACATGTACTGGCTACTGTTACAGAAACATGTACTGGCTACTGTTACAGAAACATGTACTGGCTACTGTTACAGAAACATGTACTGGCTACTGTTACAGAAACATGTACTGGCTACTGTTACAGAAACATGTACTGGCTACTGTTACAGAAACATGTACTGGCTACTGTTACAGAAACATGTACTGGCTACTGTTACAGAAACATGTACTGGCTACTGTTACAGAAACATGTACTGGCTACTGTTACAGAAACATGTACTGGCTACTGTTACAGAAACATGTACTGGCTACTGTTACAGAAACATGTACTGGCTACTGTTACAGAAACATGTACTGGCTACTGTTACAGAAACTACGATTTTGTCTAAGCAGTCTAAGAAACTATTTTTTTTTTTTTTTTCAATCTATGCGGTGCTGACCTGGGACTCGTGTTTATGTCTGTGCAGGCTGGCACCTTCTAGCTTTCTTCAACAACAATAAAATGAAACTCATTGTAAACCTTCCAGATGAGATACTGTCACCTTTTCACACACACAAAGTGTTCTGGCGGCACCCCTTTTCGTGGCGCCCAGGGCATCTGCCCTACCTGACATACCCTAATTACGCCACTTGTGACAATGACAACAAAGTATTCAGCCCAACATCCACGTAAATTTTTAAATAAACTATTGCACCCTCCCTGACGTGACATTAAAAGAAAACTATTACACCCAACACTGACTTGACAATAAAAGAAAACTACTCCACCCAAAACCGACGTGACAATGAAAGTAAACTATTTCACCAACACTGACGTGACAATGAAAGTAAACTATTTCACCAACACTGAGGTGACAATGAAAGTAAACTATTCCAGTCAACACTGACGTAACAATAAAAGTAAACTATACCACCCAACACTGACGTAACAATGAAAGAAATCCATTCCCCCAACACTGACGTGACAATGGAAGTAGACTTACCCACCCAACACTGATGTGATAATGGAAGTAGACTTAACCACCCAATACCGACGTGACAATGGAAGCAAACTAACTCCATTCTCAAGCTGGATGTTGTGGTATAATATGCTAGGCTCTCCTGCACCAAACGTCGACCATTACGTTTCCTAAGAAGATCCAAGCACTTCTTTTGCCTCTTGACACTGAACCGACTGTGTAAATGATCAGATCCTCTGAGCGAGCATTTTCTGTAAATAATTGCTGAATTTCCACCTCTGTGGCACCTGCTGGCCAGTTTCTGCATTTCCGGCTCAGTGTGATTATGACCCTACACAAGTCTGACTGTTCAGGTTGCACTTTGACCCATTCCTCTCCTCGTCTAAAGTTCTCCTAACACCGACGTGACAATGAAAGTACACTATTCCACCCAACACCAACGTGACAACGGAAGTACACTATTCCACCCAACACCGACGTGACAACGGAAGCACACTATTCCACCCAACACCGACGTGACAACGGAAGCACACTATTCCACCCAACACCGACGTGACAGCCTAAAACATGTGTGTTCAGGACGTATGTCAGTCTATAGCCGAACAACGGTGCAGAACGTCACATCAGGTCGGAGACACGGTATCTTGGAAGTCTTGGCACAGATGAGTGACTGTCATTGATTGTAGATTTGTGTTACAGGACGGGAACAGAGTTTGATGATGAAGCCTGTGTGTCAAATCGTGTGGTCCTGGCTCCTGTTAGCTCTGTTGAATGCTGAAGCTTCAGGTTCTGTAGCCTCACCTCCTTGGCCTCAGAAGCTTCTGGTTCTGCTCCTGGACGGATTCCGCTGGGACTACGCTGAGAGGGTATATTCCTTAACCGTTCACCTCTTTTTGATTTGATCTAATTAGTGTGAGTCAAAACTTAGCAAAGTCAAGCCAAGAACCCTTTTTTTTTTAAACGTTTTTAGACGTATCTGGCACGACCTATAATTCATTTACCATTTGGCGCTCGGTGGATTATGTGGTCAGCATCACGCCGACCCCCTTTACGTCGCAGGATTTTACTTGGTACCCATTCAAGGCTAAGTCGACCTGAGAGCCAATGTTATTTGTGAAGAAAGAAGAAAGCACAGCTCTGAGTTCTTCTTTATCTCGATCTATAGGATAATGCCCTTTTCTCTTGGCTGCTCCTCTATCTTCTATTTCTTGGTCAGCTTCATCGGGATTCTCCAGAGCTTGATTGTCACTTAATTCCCTATCTTGATCATCAGAATATAATTACTCCACTGTTTCTTCATTTTGCTTTCGCAGTCTATCTTATCTGTGCTGTCTTTCAGGAAAAGGCAAATAATCTTCAGAACGTTGTTTTTGTAAACGCTTGATTTCTTTCGTCTTTTCTCTCTTTAGTTCCTCTTCTAGCTACTGCTCTGGTATTACTATATAGTGTATCGTCTTCTTCTGATGTGCCGTATTTTCTCTTTAGACACACTATCTTGTAAGGGCTCTGTCTCAAGATCTGTTAATTTCGTGGCATGTGAAGTATCTTGAGCTTAGCTTGGCAATGTTCTATGAGATAACCATTGATATCTGGAACACATTTCCTCTCTTCAGGATCGTTGAGGGTTAAATCATCACTATCCTCTGTCTTCTTCTGATGGGACAGCATCAGTTGATTTTGGGAAAAGTCTCTGTTCAGTCTCTTCTTACAGTTTTTCTTCAGTTGAATCATCAAGTCTCAGTTGCTGTAACGAGCTTTAGCTTTGTGTCCTGTATTCTGGTTTTTGATCAAATATGTTACTGGAGCCAATCTTTCTAGAACAAAGTATCCGGACAACCAGCTGTTTGACAACCATCAAACTTTGATTCTCTTACATGTTTCTTGTGGTATACTCCTATTTCAGATTCTTGAAGTTCAGCATTCTTTGCACTTTTTCTTGTTTGAAAAATGCTTTGATGAAGTTTCTGAGTACTTTGACATGTGCTTTGTGCATTTCTTGTAGCCCTAACTTATGAAAGTCTTCTTCCAAATATGTTCTTCTTGGCTTCATGTCATTAGGTAAATTTGATTCTCTGCCGTACATCGGGAGAAAGATGAATATTGTGTGCGTTCGTTCACGTTAGTTCTGATAGCTCCAAGTGTCTGGCTTAAGTACAAAACTTAATCTCAGTTGTTTTCATCAGAGTGCTTTGTAATGATGTCGTAGAAAGTTGGATGTTGTCTTTCATTCTTCCTGGTACTTTTTGAATTGTAAAACGCTGCAGTAACGTGTTTGATATTCAACTTTTTCATTTCTATTTCAAACCTTTAATTAATGAACCCTTTTGCATTATTTCTCAACACGATGTGAGGGCATACAAATCGAGGTATGATTTCTTGTAGAAAAAGTCTTACTAGTATGTCTGCTGAGTTGTCTGGAATCGGGATTACTTCTGGCCATAAACTGTAGTAGTCTACGATGTGAAGGATGTAAAAATTGCAGGACAGGGTTTTTGGGGAAATGTCTCAGGTAATTTTCTGCATTATGAACTGGGGAACATCTGTTTGCCTTTTTATAGGTGTCTACATACTTGTACACTGTATTGTATAAATTTAGCCTAAAATATTTCAGTTTCACGGCCTTAAATGTCTTGTCTTTACAATTAGGCCATTCTGTTCATGATATTGTTCAGTACATCTGGCTGCAAGTGTTCAGGCACATGTTTTCTCCGTCTGGTTCATCATCCTTGTTTGAGACGCAATTTAACTGCCCCTTACCTGGTCAAATCATGTAATTCTTGTTTGATTTTCTTGTTCATTTCATTTGTGAGCTCTCGCATTATTTCTCAAATGTATTCTTTTTTCCCCGTTTATATCAAATGTAAAATAGCCTTGCTATGTTGATTCTGTGTTCAGGTCTGTTTCATTTTCTTCAGTAGGGACATGTTTCTCAATTAGTTGGTTCGAGTTGATCACACAAACTGCACGTATGTGATCATCAGTCTCTGGTTCACTTGTATCTGTTTCTTCTGGTTCATATTGGTAAGGTAATGTGGACAATAGGTCTGCACAAGTATTCTCAGTTCCAGCTTTGTACTTTATTCTGGCGGTGAATCCTTGCAGGTTTAGTGCCCATTTTTTTGTTCTGACTGGTGCTTCTAGTGCAGACTTCATGACCATATAGTCTATCTCAATTACAGAGCTGGCTTTGTTTAGATAAAAGTCTAACTTCTGTGAGGCATAGTGAATTGCACAGGCTTAATTCTGTGATATTAACTGCATGTTATCGAATGAACTTATAGCAAGGTCGGGCGGAAGCGAGAGATGAGAGTGAAAGCTTTTTAGAGGTTCTTGGTCGGTTGGATTCTGCTGCGTGTATCATCTGCTCTGGGGCTGCCATATTCCGTAGCAGATTTCTCCTAGTCTTGCGATTCCCTGGGCTTTCTCATAATATCTGTTCTTCTTTGCGGAGTATATCTGCTTTAGCTCTTTCATATCCTAGGTTTTTAAGTGACTGGACTAGCTGTCTTCTTTCTGCCTCCTTCATTGCACCCTCTCTTGCCTCTATCACTTTGTTGGTTGCTTGAAGTCCTTTTTGTAGCTGTGCGTTTTCTACGCTAGTTTTGGTTAGTTTTTCTAATGTCACTGCCAATGTGTTTTTGATTGTAGCCACTTGGGTCAAGAGAATTACCTGGATGTCTCGCTGTTCTGTCAGTCTGGTCTCTTCTCTTGTGTGGTTTGGGTGTCCAGTTCCTTCTGCGTTTAGATTTCTTCAAGCAGTTCCATTATATCGTAACTGAACTTCTCCATTTCGGTTCTGTTTTTCTAGCGATTCCTGTAGGAGGTTTAGTAGACCGGTCATTTCGTTCCTTTCATGATCTAGCAGGGATTTGTGTGTGTGTTTTCCCTCGTTATCCTATCGCATGGTCTGATTTTCATCTTTGGGTTGCGAGATTTCACTGTTTAACTTGGAGTGCGTTGATTCCGCTTCGCCTTTGGTGGCCTCATGTCTCCTGCCGTCTTCTCGATAAGGGAGGTAACCCTGATGGCAGTTTTGGTGCTACTTTTGGCTTGCTGGAGATTAGGGGACGCTAAATATATGGCACCATGCTCCCCTGAGTTGTTAGCACATTTCCTTTTAGCCTTTCTTGTCTGTGTCTTGCTTCGCCAGAGGGCAGTCTTTGAAAAAGAGATGCTTGAAGCAGTATCGGCAAATTTCGTATTCACACTCAAGAGGAACGGGCGTGCCCGGCTGTTTGACA